ACTGGGGAAGGAGGCTTTGGGGAGAGAACAGAGAGAGTAGCCAGCAGGATCCCAGTGCGGACTCCTCCCCCATAGGGCAGTAGCGTGAAAGGACCCAACAACCTCGCCCCCAGGAGGGACTCCGCCTGGCCCTGAGCTGTCTAAGGAGCCCTGCTGAATGCAGAGTGAATAGGTTAACAGCTGAAGGAGACAGCCACAAACAGTAGATTACTGGAAGTCTAGAACAGACTGCCTAAAGTCAGACAGGGTCAACATCTGACATCATCAGAGGCAGATCCAGAAAGTAAAAACAGTGGTATCCAACCGTAGATGTTCACACCACAAAGTCAGGAAATCAAGACAGATCAACTTAAAAATCAGAAGCAAAAGAGAAGAGTCTCACAAATAATGGGAAGAAAAATAAGCCCCACTTGAAGGGAAAGGAGGAATCCCCACAAAGACAACAAAATGAAATAGAGGAAAGTAAACTATCAGATATTGAGTTCAAAACAATGGTTCTAAGGAAGCTCAATGAGTTCAGTGAGCTCAGAGAGAATTACCAGAAACTACAGGGAAACTACAAGGGACTTCCTGCAAACTATATCTGCATGAAGAAGGACATAGAAACTATCAAGAATAGACAAGAGGAAATGAAGAATATAATTTCTGAATTGAAGAACACAGTAGAAGGAATCAAAAGTAGGCTAGATGAAGCTGAGGACCGAATCAGGGAGCTGGAGGACAAGGTAGAAAACAGCTCCCAGAAAGAGCAAGAAAATGAAAAAAGACTCAAAAAGCATGAAGAGGCATTGAGGGAAATGCAGGACAACCCGAAACGTAATAATATCCACATAATAGGGATACCAGAAGGAGAAGAGGAGGAGGAAGGGATAGAGGACCTGTTTGAAAAAGTCATGATGGAAAACTTCCCTAATTGGAGGAGGGAAAAAGTCACACAAATCCAGGAAGCACAGAGAGTCCCATTCAAGAGGAACCCAATGAGGCCCACTCCAAGACACATCATCGTTAAAATGGCAAATACCAAAGACAAACAGAGAATCCTAAAGCAAGCAGGAGAGAAGGAGGTAGTAACATATAAAGAAACCCTGATATGGCTAGAATCTGACTTCTCAACAGAAACAGTACAAGTCATAAGGGAGTGGCAAGAAATATTCCAAGTCATGAAAAGCAAAGGCCTGCAACCAAGACTGCTCTACCCAGCAAGGATCTCAATTAAAATGGAAGGTGAAATAAGGAGTTTCCCAGACAAAAGAAGGCTAAAAGACTACACCTCCACCAAACCAGCACTGCAAAATATGCTAAAGGGACTGCTTTAAGATGAAGAAAAATTTTCTATAAATACCCAGTTCCTTTAAGGGTTGCCAATACTTGTTATTACCATTATTTTTATTACTCATTAATCTGATTGTGACAATGATGTTATTTTAATTGTTCCTTTACTATTTGTTGAAGCTAAACCTGTTCTAGTATATTTCTTGCCTATTTCTATTATTTTTTTTAAAAAAGCTTTAAATGACTTTTTGGTATTCTTTATCCATTTATTGATAAAAGGTTTGTAGAGCTTTTTTCCCTAAGAAAAACAAAACCCCAAAAACTAAAAATCTATTAACCATGTATTAGATGTGTTGCAAATATTTTTCTATTCTATTTCTTGTCCTTTAACTTTTTTATGCTTATATTACTATATATTTAAATATTTAATATAGTCATATTTTCAATATTTATATCTTCTGTGTTTGACTATTTTACTTCAGGTCATGAAAAATATTAGTTCTATTTTCTTCTAAGACTCCTTAGATTCTACATATTGACTTTTAACTCACCTGAATATTTCTTATATAATGTGTGAAAAAGGGCTCTATATTTGTTTTATTTCAAGTAATAGTGGTCCATGTACCTTATTTGTTGAATAAGCCTTATTTTACCCATTGATTTGAAATATCAACTTAATCATACATATATTAATCAGATATATACGTTTGTATCTAGAACGTTTATTATATTTCATTGATCTACTTGATTATTTCTGTGCTGGTATCATGTTGGTTTAATTGCTGAGACCTTATAATGGTTTAATTTTTTAAATATTTTATAATTAACTTTGACATTTAAAAAATAAATAAAAATCAATCTGCATTTAAGAAAGAAAGAAAGAAAGAAAGAGAGATGGAACTCGTACCTTTTGCGACAGCATGGATGGAAGTGGAGAATATTAAGCTAAGTGAAATAAGCCAGTTGATGAAAGACAATTACCATATGATCTCACCTATAAGTGGACTCTATTCAACAAAATAAACTAATGAACAAAATAAACCACAGGCATGGAAACATGCAGCAGATTGAAAGTGACCATAGGGGATAAGGAAAGAGGATAATGGTGGAAAGAAGGGGAAATGACTAGACAAAAAACATGTATGAATGACCCATGGACATGGACAACAGAGTGGGAATTGACTGTGGGAGTGGGGGGTGGGGGTGGGATGGGTGGAGGGGGTAAAGGGGTAAAAATTGAGACAATAGTAATAGAATAAACATGATTTATGAATTAAAAAAATAAAACCACTGAGAGCTTCTGGAAAAAAAAATGATTAAGATGGTAAAAAAATAAAATAAAATAAAATAAAATGCCAAAATTAAAGATAAAGAGAGAATCCTAAAAGCAGCAAGAGAAAAGAAGTTGGTTACCTACAGGGGAGTGCTCATAAGACTGTTGGCTGGTTTCTCAAAAGAAACCTTGCAGCCTAGAAGTGACTGGCAAGAAATATTCTGTCATGTAAAGCTGGGACCAAGATTGTTCTACCCAGCAAAGATATAATTTAGAATTGAAGGGCAAATAAAGAGTTTCTCAGACAAGAAAAATCTAAAAGAGTTCATCATCACGAAACCAATATTATATGAAATGTTAAAGGGACTTATTTAAGGAAAAGAAGATCAAAACTATGAACAATAAAATGGCAACAAATACAAGTCTATCAACAACTGAATCTAAAAAACAAACTAGGCAAACAAGAAGAACAAATACGGAATCATGGATATGGAGAGGATTTTGATGGTTGCCAGATGGGAGGGGGGTTTAAAGGAATGGGTGAAAAGGTGAGGGCATTAAGAAGTACAACTAGGTAGTTACAGAATAGCTATGGAGATGTAAAGTACAATATATGAAACGGAGTAGCCAAAGAACTATAAGCATGACCCATGGACATGAACAAAGATGTGAGGATTGCCCGAGTGAGCTGGGTGGACAGGGGCATAGAGGGGAAAATTGGGACAATTGTAATAGCATAATCAATAAGGTATAATTTAAAAAAAAGAAAACATCTATCTAAGACAAACAAGATAGTAAAGAAGGGAAGGAGAAACAAAAACAGAAATGACATATAGAAAACAATTACAAAATGATAAATGTAAATCTAAACATATCAATATCAATAACTACATTAAAAGTGGATGGCCTAAATAATTTATTCAAAAGGGAAAAATTATCTTCATGAAATAGCAAGACTCAGTTATATGCTGTCTAAGAGACTGCAGAGTCAATGACATAAAACCATTGAAAGGTAAAGGATGTAAAAAGATATGTTACCTAACAGCAACCTTAAGACAGCTGCAATTACCGTAATACAAAATAAAATAGAGAGTAGAAAAATAAACAAAGAGAATTACCATATTTTTCCATGTATAATGCATAGTTTTTGCCCATATTTTTGAGGGAAAAATAAGGATGCTCATTATATACATGGGTAGTACCTGAAATACTTTGTATCTGTTCTCGTGTTTTGTAATTATTTGTTACATAAAATTTCTTGTACCATAATATGTTCAAAAATAAATGCTAAAATTCCATTATAATACAAAAACGAATGTCCATATAATTAAAAATTAAAATGCAAGACTTTTTTCCTGAAAATTTGGGCTGAAAACTGGTGGGTATGCATTATATGTGGCAAAATACAGTACTTCACAATGAAAAAGTGTGACTACATCAGGAAACTATAATTATTATAAATATACACAGACTTAACAAGGCAGCCTCAAAATACATGTAGCAAGAACTGTCAGCAGACAATTGAATAATAAGAGCTGGAGATGCCAATATCCCAATCTCAATAATTGATAGACCAACCAGGCAGAATATCAGCAATGATGTAGAAGGCTTGACAATACTGTCAACTAATTTTATCTGATATGTATAGGGTACCCCTTAAACAATGACTGCAGAATATACATTATTTTCATGTTACATAGACCACTCTTCAAGGCAGACCATATAGTAGGCCATAAAATTATAAATCAACTGGTAAGTGGATAAACAAAATGCACATCCATATAATGGGGTCTTATTTAGCTAAAATGGAACAAACTACTGATATTTAAGAGAATATGAAATGAACTTCAGAAACCTTATGTCAAATGAAAGAAGACTGATGCAAAAGACTACATAACATATGCTTTCACTTACACAAAATGTCCAGAAAAAGCAAATTCAAAGACACAGAATTTGGGAGGGGAAACACTCATCCAGCCAGCACCTGCAGTATCATCTGCATGTAACTCACCCAGAGGGTTGCCCCACTTTAAGTTGCCTCCTAGGTACTATGCTGGGGGCTACTGTTCTGTCCTCATGATTTCTAAATTAAGTGCTTGGCTAGACTTTTTCCAAGCAGGACATAGCAGCCTGAGGAAGCACAGCCTTCCCAGAAAAGGACTTACCTTACACACCCATGGTCTGAGACTGAAAGTCCTTGGAGCCCCGAAGTCACTGGAGCCCAGGCCTCCAGCAATCATGGTCACATTGAAGGCTCTGTTTCTCAGCAGTCACAGAACCGTTCTCTAGTTTGGGGTGAGGACTGTGCCATTGGCCAGTACATGTGCTTCTGGGTACTCTCAGCCCACAGAACTAAGATAGCTCCTTTGGGTGCCCTCAGGTGGCCCCCTCCCTCAAATGAGAAGCCAAGAGAAAAGGTAATCAAATTCAACAGAGAATAAAATAAAATTCTTACCAAAATATCTGGCTGCAAATGTTCTTCTTTTGCTGGAAGCTGTTGGCAGCATAATGAAGCTGGTAGTCTATGTATGAATTTCTTGTGTATCGTTTTTATAAAGAACCAACCACATCCTCAAGCACACAGCTAATTCTTGTTTTCCAGTAACAGGAGATCAGCATCTATAGAAAAAAATATATTTTGAATCCTCTTTATTTGGTGTTTTCTTGGATTTCAAGCAAGAAGCCTTGCTGTGAGGAATGAGTCCCTTAAATGCAAGTGCACCCAGATCTTGGGAGTGTCTTGGGCAAGTCACGGGGCCTCTGGGTATCAGTTCCTCAAGCCTGTGAAATGAGAACAATGATGACGATGACCTCTGATAACAAATGGAGGATGGCAAAGCCTTTCACACATGCCAGATACTATGTTTGACCTTTTCAATCTGCTGATCTGGATTTAGAAGGAGGTATGTTTTTCAGTGGGCCTTGTAAATGGGTACAAGCAGCAACCTGCAAACCTGCAGCACAAGTTCCAAATGCCATGTATTACCCTTGTCTGGTGTGTATGGCAGTCCTCTGTGTGTGTGTGTGGGAAGGGCTGTTGGGGGCACTGTCTCCATGCCCAGGTGGAGAGGCTAAGCTCTAGCAATACCCAGTGGCAGATGGTCACCCTCCCTGGTCTACTGGCTGCTAATGGCTCACCTTCTCGTTCCATTTCTGGAAATTCAGCATCATTATTTCATCATTTACAGTTGTGGAAAATCAAAAAGAAAAATCCTGATTATGAAATAAGCAAGTGATATTTCTGTAGCCATCAACATCATTGACATGGTGGTTGTGGCCATCTAAGGGAAAGGGCAGTGTTACCTTGTTTAAACATGTATATATAGAGTTGACAGAGGCAGAGGAAAACAACTGTTGGGGGTACACCACCAGAATGTTCTTCCCACCACATGTTGTTTCCTCTGCTCCCTTGCCTCTGCTGTGTTGTGTTGTGATAACAGAGCCAACCACAGTTATGCAGATAAAACAAGTAGAGCTGAGGCTCATGGTATCAGTTTCTGTCACCACCTGGGTGCGGGCTGCAGGCAGCCTGGGGCAGTGTTGTCTTGCTCCAGGCCTTGGAAATGGATGGACAGCTTCTGCTGTTGGTGTTCTCTGGGGAGAGCAGAAGGACAGCACAGAGGAGGGGCCAGACTGTGCCTCTGAGGTGTCACCTGGGGCAGCTGGGAGCAGGAGCAGTTCCTGGGTGGGAACCTAAGTGATTGAAGAGAACAGCAAAGCCCCAAACCAGAGAAGTGGCAGTGGCCTTGGACCCAAGTGAACAGCAGTTTGGCTTGCCAAGGGAAGCAGTGCAAAATGCACAGTGAGAAAAAAGTTGCAGCCCGTTTGTTGTACAGAGCAGAGGTGGAGCCAGAACCCCAAACACAGAAGTGCTGAGCACCAAGCCTGTTGGGAGCAGGGACAGAACTTGGGGACTGTTGCGGTTACAGACTGACATTTCTCTATATTCTCTAAGCACAAAAAAGTGGGAGGGTGGCAAAGGGGAATGGGGAGTGAGAGGAAAGAGTCTGTCCTATGACCTGGTGTTGCAGGCGCTTCAGAATTAAACACTGTATTTGTGTCCAGGTTCTTCCTTTTTCTAGCAGTGTAAATTTGGAGAAGCCACTGAACTAAGATTACCAGATTTAGCAAATAAAAATACAGAATGCACAGTTATATTTTTAGCGTAAGTGTATTCCATATATTGTATAGGACATAACATCTACTATAAAAGTATTCATTATTGATCTGAAATTCAGGTTTAACTGGAGGTCCTATATTTTACCTGGCAGAGTTCTTATAAATTTTGGGTATCTATTTTTATCTTTGGTCAAAAGAGGATAATCAGGAAAGAAACTTTCAGTTGCTGGAAACCCAAAAGACAATTAAAATTAGCTTAAAAGGAGATTTATTGGCTCCTTTAATGGGAAAGTCCTCATGATATGGACTTGACACATGGCTGGATTCAGTAGCTTGAAAATATTTTCCCCTAGTTCTCTTGTTTGTTTCCTGAGGTGTCTGCTTCACCCTCATGAAAATTCCTTTATTATTAAGAAGGGCTGGACACCAGCATCAGGAGCTAATACTTCCTCCTTCATGTCTAACAATAAGAAAGAACTTTTCTTCTGGTGTCTTTCTCAGAAAGGCTGGGAAGTTTCCTCTCCCTACCCTCCTAAAAATCTCCTCTTTCTGAATGGCCTTGATTGGGCAACAAATCTATAACTGAACGAATCCTGAGGTCTGGTAATGAGATGTGCTGATTTGCTAAAGCAACTGGATTTGTCCCAGGAGCTTGGCTTCCACAGTCATCTGTGCTGGTGTAGGAAAGAGGTAAAACTATAATAGATGCCAGAGTACTGTGACTGTAGGAAGGGAAGAAGAGCTCCAAGAATGCAATCTGCAGGTTCATCAAAGGGTAAGAGAGATGAGTCTGACCCCCAAGGGGTGTGTGTGTGTGTGTGTGTGTGTGTGTGTGTGTGTGTGTGTATGTTAGTTCCTTCCCTTGGACATGCTGACTGCCCTTACTTTCTTTCCCAGCTCCTACCCTTCTCCTGGCCAGGTTTATGATCCAACCTCAGCTCTGTGGTCACACACCGCAGAAGTGAGCTGGACCTCTGTCCTGCCTGTGCCATGTGCTTGTGCCCTGGGCAGGTCTGTGCCCCTCATTTTCCCCATACTTCAGGGGATGGTGTTGTGCGTGTGGGATGGGACATAATTATACCAGGAAGGTACTGGTTGGAGGAGTGACCTTGGCCGACCTCAGCCTGCAGTGGGGATGGCAAGGCTCCAGGACATGGGCATTTGCTTTGGAGAGAACAGAGTGGAAGGGCAGGTATGGTGGGCTCTACTCACCAGCCAGGAAAGAGCAGCCTCAGTAGAAGAAGGGGCCAGAGAATTGCTGTCTCATCGCTCCCCTCTCCAGCCCCTGCCTTGCTCTTACCCACCTTTCTTGGCAGCAGCGTTTAAGGGCAGGCCACACCCCAGCTAAGCTCAGCACAACTAGAAACAGCTACTGGGCCTCCCTGGTGGCACAGTGAAGGGCAGTCGTGGAGAGAGAACTAGGTGACTCAGCTAGGAGCAGCTCTGACTGACATGGGTCACAGAGTCAATGGGCCCACATGGGGGCTGCTGGGAACCAGGACATCCTGAACACATTCAGGATTCCCTGCAATATCACCCACCTCTCCCCTGGCCAGGCATAATTAATAGTGACAGCTAGCAGTTAACAGATGCTGACTATAGACCAAACATGTTCACCCCACAGCACGCTGAGGTGAGTGTTCCAGTGGAACTGTGAGCCACTCTAAATCACATGGTTTAACATGGTAGGGGCGGTGTTTCAAACCCAGGTTCTGCTGTTCACTGCCCCTTATCCCTCAACCTGGGCAGATGGACCTGGTTGTCCTGGACTGGCTTACTTACCTCTTCACCTTGTGGTTCCTCATTCATCTCTCACAGAGCTCCTTGGGCTGTGCCCTGTGTGAGCACAGGTAATGAGCACCCATCACGGGGTGGGCATCTGGGCCCTGGCAGGCACCAACTGTCCTGGCTCCCAGGAAAGCTGTCTGGGTGTTGCCCTGTTGAGGTCTGCTCACTTGGTACCCCGAGCCGTCCATCTCAGTCTTCACCACCTGGAGCCTGCCTCCTAAAGGGAGTGCTGAGGTTCCCTGCCCGACTTCTCACCCTGTGGCCCCAGGACCCCATTTGAAGAGCAGGCAGGACCAGAAGGAGGCTGCCCATCATCAGTCAGATTCAGGCTCTCTGGCTCCTCGGTGCCTCTGGGGATGATGCGCTGATGCTGTTGTCATTGGCTTGCTAAAAGGCTGAAGCAGTCACGGCTCAGGAAATGTTTCCCCAGTGAGGCTGACCTCTGCCAGGAAGGGATGGGGCAGGGAGGCCCGCGGACACGGCCGCAGTTTGACTTGGTGCAGAGCGCCCCCTGGCGGGCACCAGCAGGCACCGCCTCCCAAGGCCTTGGACCGGGGCCTCCCTCTCAGATCCATCACCGCATTCCTCCCCAGCCTCTGGATCCGCAAACTGCAACTCTCCCCATCCTCGCCTGTAGTCTCACCTTCCCTGGAGCCAGGCGTGGCTGGCAGGGTGTATGTGATTTCTGGGGATTTCTACACTGAATCTTCCTCCAAGCAGCTGAATTCCGCACTTCTGACCAGTTATGTGTTCTGACCAGTCAATATGGGGAGGAAGTTAGAACTGGAGACGTCATTAGTAGGGGAGGAACCCTCAGGTTGCAGAGGGGGAATTGAGTCACTTTTCAAGTGTTCAGCATCACCCAAATCTCCCCAGTTTGTGGACTGGGAAACAGGTCAGAAATGTTCAGCAAATTTCCCAAGGGTACAGATTACAAGTGGCATTGCTGAGAACTGAAACCAAGGCCAACAGAAGCAAAGCCCTTGAAAGCCCAGGCCAAGGAGAGAGGCAAGCCGTGGCCCTCATTAACCTGGTTTCCCAGTGGGGCTCTGGTAGGCAGGGAGCCCCCTACTCTGAGGGTGGGCCGGCCTCCCTCTCACCTGGGCTCAGTGTGGCCCTTTGCTCTTGTCCTCCCTGACCAAGGCAGGCATGGCTGGCTGTGGACTGGCAGAGCTGGAATCTGGATAGAACTGGGGTTGGAATGGAGTCTTGGTCAGTTGAGCCTCGTGGAGGTGATGATGGAAGAGGCAGGCCTATCATCCACCCTAAGCACTCTGGTAACCTCCTCTCAGTCCTTGGAGAGAGTCTCTTGGCAGTGGGGCAGGACAGACTGTGGTGGAGGGGGCTTGTTGGCACAGGTAAGAGAGCACATGTCCTGCTGCAGGGCCAGAAGTCAGAGTTCTGAGAGGCAAGGTGTAGTGTGCTCTTAGACCTTGTCAGTCCCCACTCCTATTGTGGACTCGATTGGAAGCAGCATACCAGGCTTCCTCTGTGAATGCACTGAGAAGGGAGAACTCTCCATCCAGGCTTGCTGGGAGAGGCAGTGAGAGCTGCATCAGAAAGAATGAGGGCCCTGGAGTCAGGCCAAGTTGAATTTGAATCTTGTCCTGGACACAACATCCTGAGCCCCA